TCGAGCAAAGTAAGCAGCCGTCTCCCCGATAGACGAAACTTGTTTGTCATGTCAGTGTATGTATGCCCTAACGGACTGCAGCCCAAATGCAGTCAAAGATGAATTCTACGATGACTACACGACCTTTTGCGTAAAGCGAAACGAGCTGATATCGTAATTTTAGCGCAGATGAATTCTAGAGTATGCCGGACGACTACAAGTGAGGCGCATTTGAAAGGTCCTTTCGGATTAGATTCCTGTCGCTCGTAAAACGAGGAACGGATGTTCGTTCTAGGCTCCGACCACCACCTATTCCTCACTAGTAGGAACTTCACACGATCCAACTGCCGGTAAGTTACTCGGAGTCTCACACAGCTATTCTAGCGTGCGTCTCATGGCCTATCTCAACAGATCTACCTTTTGACTCAGAGGTCCAAACATAGGGACGTTAGAAAGCCTCGGGCTCCAATGGCCTTCCCACAGCTAAATTAAAAGATGGTGGAATTAAGCTTCATAGAGAACTGGTTGCTCTATTCCCTTAAGTTAGGCACAATGAGCAGGTCCTACTCCTCGCGCAGTGACTGCGCCAATCACAGGGGTATTAGCTTAATCCCGATAGCGTCAAAGCTGTTAGTGTCCATCGTTCTCCGTCGATTGCACAAGACAAGTGAAGAGCAGACCGGCGAGGGACAGGTTGGGTTTCGCGCCGGTCATGGATGCATCGATCAAATCTTCACCCTCCGACAGCTGCTAGAGCAACGTCATGTCTATCAAAGAGCATTGTGTTCTTAGATACCCGCGTAACCTTCGACTCTGTCGGCAGAACCGCACGATTGACCTGTTTGTTGAGGAATGAGGCACCTAAGAAGTACGCGTCGATTCTCAAAGAATTATATCGTCATACCTCAGGTCGGGTTAAATCCCGTGACCCATAAAAAAATAAACAAAAACACAAAATAAAAGTGTATGATGAGACAAAAAATGTTATTCTCGTTATTCAACGTAACTCTGCTATGCCGTTTTGTTGGTACCGCGTTTGCTCGCAAGCCGATGATAAAACGTTAATAATAATACACATTATCCAGTAAGCATT